AGAGTACATAGCAGCAAGCGAAGCGTCAAAGGAGGCGATATGGTTGAAGAACTTCATTGGAGACCTTGGAGTTGTACCAGCCATAAAGGAGCCTATGTAGATTTTCTGCTATAATGAAGGAACGGTTGTCTTGACCAAGGAACCGAGGGATCATGGCAGATCTCGACATATCGACAGAAAATATCACTTTATTAGACATCGGGTGGAAGAGGGACTCCTCGTGGTGAAGAGGGTATCGTCAGAAGATAACCCAACAAATCCCCTTACGAAGGGACTGAGTAGGGTTAAGCACTTGCAACACGCTCGGAGCATTGGGCTGAAGGACGATATTAGTTTAGATTAGATAGCTTCGAAACGTGTAATAGATAAATTGTAATTAACATTTGACGGTTAAATAAATGTGTATTATTTATAAGTAAAGTTACCGTCTTGTGTTAATCATTTACCTATTGTTTCACTTTACATGTTTTGACTTCCTGAATAATAAGATTATTCGAACCGTCCACACTCACTCATACTTTAGAAGTACGTATGAAAGAAGACTGTCATGAATTGGCTTGTAGATTGTCTAAAGTCTATTAGACATAGCAAAAGTTTGCTACAACGTTCATGAGTGCTTATGAACTAAGATTTGAGCATTAGATTAAACCCACACTTGTTGCTATCACTTCATGGAATTTATCACGAGTGATCGCAAGACGATAATATCATATAGTCTTTAAACCAAGATATATGGTTTATTGTTTGCAAGTTGGTTGTGCATTGATAATGCGTAAACGCATCAGTAACTTGATGTTATAAAACGCATTGTTGGGTACGATTTGATGAGTGAATAGTAAATACATATAAGTCGAAGTTTATCTGTTCCTTTTATCCTAAGAAGGTAAAAGCGATATATGGGCCCCTCGATGATTTGGTTTGACTTATGTGCCGGGCCCGGTCAGGACTCAATTGATGTGTTCAATTAAGTTCTATGTCAGACGAATCAGAGATCGAGAAAGAAACTGCTGGACAATAAGTATGACTATGTTCAATGTATTTGTCCACACGATATCTAGAACGAAGGATTATACGACCCTTTATCTGAAGGACATGTTACTGATAAGATCAGAGTTCGACAGCGTCTTTGAGAGCTACGATTGCTAATCGGATCCTAAAGTCATACTTGCATTTATAGTTAGTAGACTTATCCAACTGGGAGACTGTTGGATTAGTGTCTAAGCTCGTAACTACATTTGGTATGTACTTGACCCGGTTGGTCATGATCCTTTTGGGTTGCCTTCACCGAAGCAACCTGACATGATGATTTATGGAGAGAGAGAGGTTGTTATGGTTTATTAATATATTATATGATTAATATATTAAAGGAGAAATCATATAGTTTAATTAATATTAGTCAAGAATTAAATAAGAATTAATTTTGTGACTAAAAGAAATTAATTAAATAAAGGGGACTGGAACTGTCAATTGTGTGATAGTTGGTTTTAGGCTGTGAACTCTCATGGACATAAGGGGGACGAAATTAGGAGTGGAAGCCCACTCTAATTTCGTCCAAGGAGGCCTTATTCCAGAAGGTTCTCAAGCCGCTTAGGGCCTAAGTCATCCAATTGGGGTTTTGACTGAAACCCTAGCAGCTCAACTATTTAAGGGACCCCAGGGCTTCAGTTTCGGCTACACCAAGAAACCCTAAGGTTACTATAGCCGAAATTGTTCCTCTCTTCTCCTCTCTCCTAGATCATCTTCTTGCTTGTGGTGTTTGTAAGCCATTAGAGGTGTTACACTTGTGACACTAAGCTTCTTGAAGATCAAAGATTCTTGCAACTATTGAAAGGTATCATCTAAACTTGCTGTATTCTAGATTTTGTTTTAATAGTATGCTAGATTAGGGTTTCAAGCTTTAGATAAATTTGCATGTACAATAGAGAAAGCTAGATCCAAAGTTTTAGGGTTTTGCATGTGCACATAGGATGTTCTTTTGCTCAAAACCCATTAATATAACCTGGACATGTAATGTTATTGATGATGCAACTAAATTTTGGGATCCTTTGTATGCTAGGGTTCTTAAATTAATGATTTGGTGCAATTTGAGAGGGTTATGTCCATGCCAGAAGTGAGGATTATTTGTATGGTTTAATTATGATGATATGGATGTTATAATTATGTTTTGACACTCTTGAATGAAACTAGGATATGCATGCTAGAAGTAGTTTTGTTGAAAGGTGTATCTCTTTACATACTACTAGTTGATGTTATGTTATTTATGTCGATATACCTTGATGTGTGATTACAATATGTAGTATGCCATGGATTAATTATAATAATAATTCACTAGCATGATTACATAATGATATTGGTGAGGTGTGTGTGTTTTCCATGTGAGAGAATTAATTAACTATATAATTATTTAAAATAAAAAGGGGAACACACATAACGAGGTTAAAAGGGTAGCAACCTAACCTAGGTACGTGCCCTTACGAGATATCACAATGGAAGGATATCGTTGGAAGAAAAGAGCTTAAGCAAATGTCGACGTGGAGTCATATTTAGTTGACCATTTCAAGACATGGTCCTGGTGCACGTTGGTATACTGGGACTGGAGTGATATCAGTGATCTTGGATGCCATGTACAAACATCATGTTTGGGTGTAGATATGCTCGTGGAGGTACTAGATACCACCCTCAAACGACAACTCATCGTGCCCGTACATGCAAAGTCGGAGTAGCGAAGGCGGAGAACCAGGGACAATGTTACGGGTGGGAGTCATGCCCCATTTCGTGCACTGGGTCGCAATGACATGGTCTTTATTTGGGGAGTGTTAGACATGTAATAGAGCCTATTTAGCGAGGGACATTAATAGTTTATAGCGAATCAAACAAATTAATAATTATTGTGATGAAAGAATGTCCGGATTAATGTATACATTTATATATTAATAACTATCAATGTATACTGCATGGATTGATGTGATTGCATGAATTTACATGATGTATATGTATGCTTTGTTTCCATGCTTATGTGCTTGAGATTGAGTCACTGTGCTGATGTTGACACTTGTTTCTTGTATGTTGTTGTGGCTTTTGCATTGGTACAGGTAGCTTGATATTGATGGTCTGGTGATGTTGAAATCTTATGGGTAGTTATAGTCTTTTGGTTAGTAGTGATGAAACAAGTTTGAGACTTCTTGTGATGTTTCATTTGCACTTGGTTTTGGTATTTGTTTTGGTTGGGTTTTTACAACTATGGATATTGAAGGGATAATTTTGATAGATTTTCTAATTGACTATTGTTGATGTTTTTATAAGACTTATGCTAACGTTTTTATGATAATAATTGGTTAAAATAAAAGAAAATTTTTGGGTGAAAAATCATGGTGTTACATCTAACACCTTTTCCTTACTGCAACTTAAGACAGAAGAGAAAGGAAATGAAAATAACTTGTAAGAAAAGAGAAGTTATCTTGTTCTGAGATTATTTTTTGGAAGAATTGGAGAGAAAGATAAGAAAATATAAGGGATCCTATTCTCTCATAATATTCCTTTCAAATTGGAGGGATTTAAAGGGAACTAGGCATAAATTCGTGTTTGTTTATGGATTATGAATAAGGGATTATCTTGTTCCATTTCCTTTTTTCTTAATCGGAAAGCAAAATTACTTTTTCCTTTCTTTCCCCCCCCCCCCCTTTCTTTGTTCTTCATATTTTTCGTTGCTCTCCATATTTTCCTTCCATTTATTTTATTTCCTTTACAAAAACTTGGAAACTAGGTGTAAGAGAGAATACATTTCGAAAAAAACTATAATTACTCTTTTATTCATACACAAATTATAACTCTTATGTGGTTTAAATTCATTATTTTTTAAGAAAGTTTCTTGGCCATGATGCTTATTTGAGTATATTATCATTGTAATGGATCTTCAAAACGAATACGAACCTATGTTGAGAATTTGAATCGACGGTAAGAAAAAAGGTTTGCATAATTATTGTAAAGTCTCCCAAAGGCTTTGTCGAACACAGTGAACCGTGTCTTATCTTTGATAGCATTTGTAACATCCCTCAAAAGACACGTATTTCCATATTGTCCGCTTTAAACTACTTGACACAAAAATTTCTCAAGGGATCACTTATCCTCGAATTGTTTTTGCCCGGACATGTTTAACTACACAATTTTTATGAGATTTGTTTCCTCGTGACTTTAAAATGCATTGTTACATGGATGAGATCCGCATCCTTATAATGAATGTTTAGTTCTCCTTCCGAACTAATGTAAGATCAGATACATGTAGTCAACCACCTTGGGGGAATGTTATATTTTTCTTTGGTAATGGTAATGATACGTTTTTAATTTACCCAACGATCATATCTAGGCCCATTGATTATTGTTGACATGAAAACGACCTTTCGGTTCTCTTTAGTGACGACTAACCAATATCTAACGATATGCCAAATTTATCCATTCAAAGTCAATCTCTCCATCATCTATAAAACCTAACACTTATCTTGTTTCATAGTAGTTTAATTGCCAAAATTATGGGTTATCAATGAAAAGAAACAACACCGATAGGATGTTTATTGGCTAATAACTTATGGTTTTCTTCATATTTCTTTCCCCCCTTCCGGGTCATTGACCGATTCTGAGAAATAAGCAAATGAAAGTTGGACGTGTAAGTTTTAGAATTTTGTTAGATATGTGGCTCATTATAGAAGTATAAATAAATAATGGATAATGTTGTTTTCCAATGAACCAAATTTGGTTCGATCACAGGCTTCCTGATTATGACTAAATGGAAGACATAGTAACATAAATTTAATTACCTTTGTATTATAGTATTAATTCTCATGTTTTCTCAATTATAAAATTATAAATTATATATATATTTTTTCTAGCTTATCTTCGCAACTATTAAGAATTTAATTTGGAAAGTGTAAAACATCAATATATGAATATATGCTTGTGAATTATATATGTGAAAACAAACCGATGCATGAGAATTGAGTTAGTCACTCAATTTTGATGATTGGATCGAATGGATTTTATTTTTTCAACAACTGTTTCAAAGGCTTCAAGTGTCAAGTCCTTCTCAATGTAATCGATATTAGATGGATCAAAAGGACCTTTGACTCGATCAATAGATTTTATAACCGCTCTTGCCGGGAGAATGCTCCTTGTGGGGTCAGGAGAAGTTCCTGAGCTCAAGCTCGATGAGAATCCCTACATCACCATATGTATATATATAATCGAAAACATTATTTCAAAATAAATCATAGGCCACAAATTAAAGTACATCGAGACTAAATACTAATGATTTGTAATTTGATAACATTTGGAACCAGACCGAGGATAAGTTAACTAGTTGTGATTAAAACAAGTTTTACAACTTCAAACTCACATTTAGAAAACATGAAACTAATAGGGCAGTTAAAACTATTTGTATTTATGAGTCGTTAGCTCGTTATTCAGTATTCACCATGTACCTTAAAGATTAGAACTTCAACTTCTAGGTCATCAACGATTGCTTTAACCAAAAGTGCTTCGTCTTTTGCCACCTGGCTATAGAATTCTAACAATGATATCGCTTCATTGTGTCCATATTCTTCATCATTTTCACATTCGTCTTCACTATATCTTAGTTGCCGTCTAGCCCGACATTGACTGCCAGAAACTTTACGACTTTGGCTACCAAGTTCATGAGGTTTGCTGGTGAAAAAGTTATTGTGCCCAAGTGTGATGGTTGAAGTGGTGTTGACATTGTGAGAAATGGTAGGGAAAAGAGAAGGGAAGGATAATGTAGTATACATGAGTGGTGGTGAAGAATAAAGTTCTACTGATCCACAAGACTTGATAAGAGGTTCATGTGAGTTTTGGCTTTACATGACAAAAATAATTCATGTCGTACGGGTCATTGTTTGATATTGAAGGTACATACTATTAGAGATAATCACATCACATAAGATAATTAAAACGAGTATTCAATTTTTATATGCTAGTTATTATAATTGTAACTCATATACAATTGTCGCCGCTTTGTAGGGATACAATGCTAACGTACGCCACAATATTGAATTTGTATTCTATCTGTCTCAAAATTATTGTTCATAAACAAAAAATACACAGATTAAGAAAATATTAATTACAACTAACTTCATTAAATGATATTTATTTTTAGAGGTAGACTATTATTATATGCTAGTTATTATAATTGTAATTATTCAATTTTTATATACTAATTATTATAATTGTAACTCGTATACGATTATCGCCGCTTTAAAGGGATATAATGCTAACGTGCGCCACAATATTGAATTTGTAGTATTAATTATAACTTTAACATGTGCAATATTTAATTTCAATCTATAGATTTGGTTTCTATAGTTTTAATTTGAGCAAATTACTGAAATCGTCCCTATGGTTTGGTCAAAATTTCACGTTTGGTCCCTAACTTTTTTTTTTGCACTTGAATCGTCCCTATGGTTTGATTTCGTTGCGTTTTTCGTCCCTATGGTTTGGTCAAAATTGTACGTTTGGTCCCTAATTTTATGTATGTAAGGGACGAAAAACACAATAAAATCAAACCACAATGACGATCCGAGTGCAAAAAAAAGTTAGGGACCAAACGTGAAATTTTGACCAAACCATAAGGACGATTTCAATAATTTACTCTTTTAATTTCAATAGGTTTCTATAGTTTTAATTTCAACTAGAAAGGGTCCCCCGCGTTGCGGGGGTTGGAAGATGTTTGGTAGCCACAGTAAAATATGTTGCTATTCTCTACAATTTGACCATTTACAAATGCATAATAGTCAAATATGTTGAACAAAATGAA